ACACATTCTAAATTGAAAACTTACTACAAAGCTACAGTAATCAAGACAGTGTGGTATTGGCATAAGGATAGACATATGGAACAATGGAATAAAGTTAAAAGTTCAAAAATAAAGTCTTAAACTTATGGTCAATTGTTTTTGACAAGTGTGTCAAGACCACTCATGTTTTCAATAACAGATGTCTATGCAACTGGATGTCCATATACCAAAGAATGAAACCGGACCCTAAAGTGTACAACATACAAAAATGGATCAAAGACCTAAATGTGAGAACCAAAGGATAACATAGATGCTTAGAAGATACAACCAAGAGAAATGAAAACTTAGGTCCACATAAAAACTTGTACACAAACGTTCATAGTTGTATTCATAATAGCCAAGAAGCAGAAACAACACAAGTATCCATCAACTGAATGGATAAATAAAAAAGTACAGTACTTCAATACAATGTCATTATTCAGCCACAAAAAGAAACCAAGTACCAATACATGCTACAAGGTGAATGCACTTTGAAAACATTACTCTAAAGGAGCAAGGGAAGGACACAAAAGGCCACATATTGTATGGTTTCATTGAAATAAAATGTCTAAAAAAGGCAAATCCATAGGCAGAAAGTAGAGAGTGGTTGCCAGAGGCTGGGAGTTAAGAATAGGCAGTCACTCCTAATGAGTACAGAATTTCTTTTTACAAGGATGAAAATGCTCTGAAATTTTATAATGAGGACAAATGCACAATTTCGGGTATACTAAGAATCACAGATTTTACAATTTAAAAAGGATGAATTTTATGGTACGTGAATTATATCTTAAAGACGAGGGAAAGCACATCTCTTCCATTTTCAGGTGGATGAGGTGGATTACACTTGCACAGTAAATCTCCACTACAAACATTTCCAATTTCTCAGTACTTTCTCCAATTTCACTGGCAAATTTTGGGAGAACCCATTTGTCTCTCAGGATGTCTTGCAAGATATTAAGTATTTGCATCTCAATTACAATGAATCCTGACAAGCAGTGCTAAGGTAGGATTGGGTATAAACCAAGCCAAGGAAGGCAGGGCCACATCTGACTGAGGACCGCACCCTCAACCACGGTGTTGTTTCTTAGACACTGCCCATCCGTTTTCCGTGGTTTCTAGGGGGACTGGAAGACAAGCAGTGTAATTATTTATGACAGGAAGATGGCAATTTTAGACGGGCATGGCTGTGTGATTTTGGGCAAGGCACCTTCTTGAGTCACAGTGACCTATTCTATAGGATGCAAGATCATGTACAGAAGGGACTGTATCTGCTCCAGAAGCAAGTTCTCTTTAGAATCTAAAGGAGGTCAACCTAGAAAGTGCACAAAGCAGTGTTCAGCTGAGCACTGCTCCTTGATCCATGTATGTGGCTGGCTAAAGGCAGAATGGTGTACGATTCCAGCTCCCATCTACATTGAGATGAAGGGAAAGTGTGTGGCCACAGAGAACATGCTTGTAGAGGCTACTGGTTGCGTGAGCACACTAGAAGGTCAGGTTGGGAAAGTTGGCACACAAAAAAACTTACTTTCCAAGGCCTTAGGCCCTTTCATCCGTCTTGCTAATCCCTTTCCATATGCTGAAATGACACAGCAATTAATTCCAAGGCATCTCCTCTCTGAGGAGAAAATACTTAACCACTAAAATTCAAAAAGAGAACTTTGGGGAGGAAGGAATGAAGGGGACAGGAGGTGATGTTTAATGGAAAGAAAAATAAACATGGTTCATTAAACATTCTGCATGCTGGGTTATTTTTTGTCATTTAAGTACTGATACTGTCAAGCTGGTGAAAAGATGGAGCTAAAACTTTGCCAAAGTCAAAACCAGACTATCTTCACCATGAAGTTGTTTATACTTCTGACCATGGTTATTAAAGAGAGAGAAGCTCCAAAATAAACTGCAGAGAAGTGGAGAATCCTATCAAGAGCAATCCAAGACAATCTGTAAGAATTTCAACCCAAGTAAGAGATGCGCCCACCATGCTGTGCCACCGGCTGGGAAGCTGCTGTGTAGACCCTTTGGGGCTCGACGGTCCTCACGACTCAAGTGCTTTAAAAATTGGCCTTCAAGGGTATTTGAGAAATATAAAGTAATGAAGCATGGCGAGTGAAGATGTGGCATGTAGGGACAGGTGCCTACAACCAACAGGGCAACTGGACAGGTGGGTGGAGCTCCGTCTACAGAGGGTCTTGAAGGCCAGACTCGGCAGATTTATTCAGCAAAGAACAAGTCTTTATACAGAGTACATTAAAACTAGCAAAATTATGTTTCAGCAGAATGAAACGGGTGGTCAGAGCCAAGAAGGTACACTGGGTAGCTACTCAGAGCGAACAATGGAAAAAACTTGAGAGAAACCAACAACTTGTGACAAAGGATGAGACTTCAATGACTTGGGGTAAAGGTGGCACATTCGAGAAAATAAAGAGGCCAAGATTAAAAATGTAATTTTTAGCCGTACTGACACTGAGTTACTAGAAAGGCATCCTGCAGAGAGGCCTGAGCAGAAGGGTCTCTGGGAGTGATCGAGGTTGACCACAGAGAACTGGGCAGGTACAGCTAAGAGCTTTAAGCAGAGCTGGAGGAGTGTCCACTCAGGCTGATCTGGATGCGCTGGGACAGAAAGAGGAGAGAAGCAGCAGCCCAGTTCTGGGTATGGTAAAGGTTTAAAGACAAGAGTTCTTGATTTTGGCAATTAGGAGGTTATAAGTATCCTTGAGCAATGCATTTTCAGTGTACAGCACTGGATTGGCAGCCTTGCACAGTGAAATCCAGCCCACACCTGCATCAAAATCTTGCAGTGACTGCTGATAATGTCAATCCACTAACCTGAACAGGAAAGGGAGAAAAGGCTTGGGTCTCTACACTTACACACACACTCCTCCCCAGACAAGGCAATTCTTTACACACTAATATTGTAGATAAAAGGAATGGGAGTGGAAGCTGTGGCTTGCTACTTTACTGATTGAAAAATGTGCGGTACCTAGGTAGGGATCAAGATCACAGAGAGAATAACACTGGGAGAGCTGCTTCCACTGACAACTTGCAAGCATACTTGAGAAAAATCCGCAAGCCTTAAAATGTCCTAACAGCCTTTAGGGAACAAGGACAGATAATGCCCAATTATACTTATTTGTCCTTTTTAATAATCTGCCTGTGCCAATGGGCAATGAATAACATTAGCAAGTTTTCTGTTTGAAGCCCCTTTTCAAGTTTCCTTTCGATATGTAGCTTCCTGCAGAGGAGTTTGAGACATACTTGGATTTTATCACATAATTAACCACAATCCAGGAAAGTATTATACAGTATTAGGAAACACAACTCATGTGCTGGAGCTACAAGGGTCCAGAAAAGTTTGGCTGCTTTCAAACTTTATGTCTGAAATGTTTTATAATACTACAGGGTAAAGGAAGGCTTACATTTTACATAGAAAGCAAATTAATTTATAGTTTAATATTTTTCCCTAGGGAGCTTCCTAGAAATTTTGAACCAAAGAAAATAAAAATATTTGAAAGACTAGCCAAAAAAATACTTTTACAACTTAACATATGGATCAGAGGGAGTAGCTATTAGTTGAAGTTTCTGTTTTCCTCTTAGGGTACTACTGCTCGTTCCTGTGACACTGCAGTCAACAGTGGGAAGGCAGTGGTGACAGAAGCGATAACATGCCCAGAATAACTGACTACTAAGCAAGCAAGAGCAGCTCGTCTGTGCAAAGATTTTCTCTTAGACATTTTTAATAGGTTTTTACTTTGTTAGGTCTATTCAATCAGAATTCTGTACCTGTACTCAATTATCATTTAAAACTTTACACACATACAAATTATCGAACTTCAACACTGTAGTGACAATAAAACTTGAGAAGTGAAGAGCACAAACTTTTTTTATGAATTTATTACATAAAATGTCCCCAGAGCATTTTGTTTCCTCTTCTCACTTTCTTAATTCATAGAAGCACAGTGGGTGAGAGGCCCTTTCGATGACTACAATCAAAAGAGGGTCCTTTGCGGCAAGGTAGTGTACAAAACAGCATTTGAAAAGCTGGCCCAGGACGACCCTGTGTTACCTTATCACACTATGAAAAGCGGTGTATTTTCCCTTTAAATCATGGTGGAAAAATGCCAGTTTTATTCAGCATTACACTACAAAACAGTTCTGTCTTAATTACTAAAAGAATTAAGAGAATCCTGAAAGACATCCTTTTACCCCTCCAATGATTTGAAAGGTATGTTTTTTCCTGCCAATTTGAAACAAATCATCAGATTGATCTGTATCAGTTAAAACAATAATCGAGGAACAAGCTCAGCACATTAAACTGTAGCTTGTAGTAAAATGATATATCAATATGTCTCTTCTTAGTTAAAAATACATAATCCATCTATTTTATAATGCATCAGAAGAAATTAACATCACAGACAAAGAAGACTAGGAAAGGGGAAACTACTACTTTAAATATCCAGTAATTTTCACCTATTTGTACTTTTCTGTGGTATATGAAAGTCATCTTTAACATTTTTTGTAGTCAAATTTAACTTTTGGGCCATACAATGTTTTCTTAAGAGTAATAGATCCATTCTTCATTTCCAGGTCTGCTCACTGTATGCCTAAGTAACACAAGGCACAGTAGCCATCCTTTCTATTATGCTGCAACACTGATCATGTGTCTGAGAAAGAGCTGATTAAACAAGATGATGGCAAAACAAAGGGGAGACCTTGGATTGTCTATTTAAAATCTAGGTAATTAATAAAAAGCTTATTTTAAGTGCACTTTCACATGCTTTTTGTTTATAATAAACAACAAACTTCCTAACTGTTGCAATAGGCTTGACTACCACATCATTTGGCCAAATGCACTTTCCCCAGTAAACTTAGAACAACAAGAACAAGAACAACGACAACAACAACAACAAAAAATCCCTGTCCTTTCACATATTAAGAAAGAGGACTGGCTACTGAAACAGTTCATTGCAGGACACACGAAAATGACATACTGTGGCATGAGTTGTTTTTAAATTGTTGTGCTGTTACTAAAGTAAAGTTCTGAGAGGTGCAGTTAAAATATTCCAAGTTCTCCCTTCCATCTTTATTGATTCGCAAGATTCTGCACAGAAAACTCTTTAGGGACTAGAACAGCAGTACTTGCATCGCACTGTTTCCAAGACTTCAAGTTTAAAAAGCAAACTGTTTATAAAAAAAAAAAAAAAAAGTTCCTGATTTGAGTTAGATACAGGGATTTTAAAAAAATAGCACATACTTGAAGGTTACATGGTCTACAAATGGCGGCAATGTTGTCCTTGGGAGAGTAGTTTTGTTGGTATATATATTTTAAATACTCAAAAAGGCTCAACCTCAAGCAGTAATAAACACAAGCAAAAGTGATTTAACCCTTAAAATAAATATTCAGAAAAACCTCTCTGTACATACAAGTGAAAGAATATGTAACACTTTCACGCGAAAAAATAATTATAATAATAATAAAGGATTTGTTCATATATGCTGCTGAAATCTGCTGTTCCAGCCCACGCGTCCCCGATAAAGAAGGGAGGCACAGACACAGATGGCCACTGTGTTCACGCTCACAGCCTTTTGTACTGGGACACCATCACCACCAAATTTACCCCTCTTGTTATAGTTACTACATTTTAAAATTTTCCTTTTTTTCTTCCTTTTTTTGTTTGTTTTGTTTTACAGCATGCCAAATCCTTTGGCATATGTGATGGCCTTCAACAATCTCTCTTTAAGTTTTTCTTTGCTTGAATATTCCGGAAGTAAAAGGACATTAAAGCAAGTATGAGATGTAGGTAACCTAAATAGAGAGAAAGGGGAAAAACAGGAAAATAGTAAGTGATGGGAAATATGATTCATATTAAATGCTCCTACTTTTAGATGGTATATAAAGTTGAGATGGTTTGCAATGAAGATTATACATTAAAGCAAGTCATAAAGATAAACCTTTTGCTGTGCAACTACCAAGAATTAAATCTTTATTCTGTAAATTAACGCTAATGCGATGAGGATGAGGACGATGATAACAATACTGAGTTATCAGTACACACCAGTACTGTTTTAGGTAACTAACCCTTGTAGTTCATTTAGCTAAATCTTTTCACAACAGTTGGACAGAACTGAAGACACTGACAATTAACTTAATCTAAGGTGGAAGAAATATTCAAACCTGGTTTTAGAGATTTAAAAGTCTGTGCTCTTTAATGCTTATCAGAAATATTGCTGATAATATGACTATAAAATGATGTGCCAACAAATATAAATTAATTTACAGTAAGTAGCACCAGTATATGTTAAATAATGTAGAATACTGATATAGAAATTTAACCCATTATATATGCTCAGTTATGAACGATCCTTACCCTCCTCCCTCAAATACCAAGTTATTCAGTGGGGAGGGAATATAATTGCCAAAATTACATAACTGAGGATTCTACCATAATCTAATGCTGAACAATCTCCTAAACTTCAACTTAACTATTCTCAATAGATTTTATATCATATGGCTTTCGATTAACAAACTGTGAACCAAAACAGAATGCGTCATGCCTATCTGAAAAACTGTAAGCCAAGATAAACCTCACTGTAACTTTTAACTAGGCCAGTTTCCTTAAGGAATATCACCAAAATTTCCTCTTAACTAACACTTCATGTGATTTGGAGATTTCTACATAAAAAATCAAAAAGGTGTTTACAAACTACAAGGACAGTTCACATATGAGGAATGTGGAATGCAAGGTTTTAGTAGATATGTAGTCACAATTAAACAATTACCTTTCTGTGTCTGGGCCGTTTTTGGCTATAATCATCTTTAATTTTCCTAGTCCTCCCACAGGTGCTCTGTCTGTGCCCGTTGTAAACTGCAAGAAGAGTCTTTTCTGATCATCAGTAAATGAATGAACGATTTCCCAGAATTCCCTAGGTAAGAAAAGATATAATACTGATTTCAGTTTGGCATTCATTATAAACTAGCATATAATTTTATGACATGTATTAAAACAGTATTAGGGGAAAGGTTGAAAGTTAACATTAGGAACTCTAAAAGATTCATTCCTGGTGATTCAGTAAGCATACTTAGTCAAATTTAAGGAAATGTTTGAAATATATAAAGCTTGTATTTAACACTACATAATTAACAACAGTAAAAAACTGGTAAATCCTGTCTAACAATAAGAAATAATTATGTAAACCTACATTGTAGAATAATATGCAGTCAGAAAGAAAAAGCAAAATCCTTTTAATTGTGAAAGACTAAAAATACTGGAAACAAAATTAACTGCTTATTCTCCATATTTACTCACCCCTTATTCAACATTTTGGGACAAATGTGACACAGATTAAGAATGAAAGAGAAAAATACAAAATAAACAATAAAAATGCAACCAACCAACCACATACTTAACATCACTAATACCACAGTATACAATTTTTACATGAACTAGCAGCACGTATTTTCAAAGGAGAAATTATTGATACATATGCAGTTATTTTAAGAAAATGAATACCCAGCATTCCCAAAACCTACATAAAAAATGCGACGTTATGACACATATGTTACTGTGAGTTCTAAAAAACTCAACCTTGAAATAACGTGACACAATGTTATCTTGAGCTCTAAAATGAAAATGCAAGCTCGGAAGAACAATCTTGAAGTGCTTGTCAGGTATTTATAAAACCAATATATACACTCACTCACAGCTAAAAATATGAAGATTTTAGAAAAACACTTAAAACTACTTTCAGTTGGGTAGAGGATGCATTTTAACATTTATCTGACAACTTCTTTCCAGAATCCTGGCAGAGCATATCAGGTCACAAACCAGTTAACTGCAATTCCAGTTGCTGATATTCTACTATGCTCTTCTTATTACCCAAATGCTGGCGTTTTTATTGCTCCAGGACCTCGTGTTGTGCTGACATAATCGCTGTTTCTAAGACTTCACACATTCACAGACCTTGGCTTTCCCTAGTCTCTTGCTACTCCCCTTCCTTGCCACCACCGTCCTCAGTCCCTGGAAATCCACTGTTCACCCAGAGGAAGCAGAAATGTCCTACAGGGCGGCAGGAAAGACTGGACACAGCACTGTGAAGTAGCACCACTCAGTTAGGAAGGTAAGGAGTCAGACCTCAGTTTACACCCTCCCCTTGTGGGGAGAAAATGAGTCTGCTACGGTTCAGAGGCCTCTGCCAGGGCAGAAAAGCTTCCCTGCCTCAAGTGGGCAGAGATGCTGCCCACACTGCAGGAATGCTGTGCACCCAGGGGTACTTCAGTATAACTGGGGGCACCGTCCGGGAAGGAAGGGCAACTCTGAAGGAAGTGGCAGGTAAGCAGGAGTCACGGTCACCAGTTCTGCTAAGATTATTAGGAAACTATTTGGTTGCATTTTAAAAAATAAGACCTTAAAAAAAATAGATTACTATTAAATCTCCATGATGAAAAGTTATAGAACAAAATTATTCTTGTGTTGTGTACTTCATTGCATTCTTGTTTAATTCAAGATTTTATCTATTTAGAAAGGTAAAGGGCAAAAGAAGCTTTCAGGTTTCTAAAGTGGTAGGCTTCATGGATCTGGTACTCACAACTCTGAAAATCTAACCACATCAAAAGGGCAGAGACAGAGAGAATGAATATAAAATAAAAATACCCATTACCTATGCCAAGAGTAAAGCAATAAACTGCAAATGTCAATCAGCACAGTTAGTACACGAGCCTACACAAGCAAAGTCTAGCAGGCACTAAGTGAAAAAGCAACACTCGCAGAGTAACATCGGTGAGGGGTCACCCCACCCTAAAAGAGGTCTGCTCAGGGAAGGTCACAGCACTGACAACAAGCTGGTTAAAAAGAAGGGCCACAGGAAAGTACTTGGGACCAGAAAGGGCAGCCTCAGGAAGGTACTGTGCCTGAAGGGAAGGGACAGTGGTCCTTGAAAAGTAGCTTCTGACCGTGAAGGACTGAAAGTGGCTCGTGAAAGGAGGCTTTAACTAAATAACACAGAACTGAAGAATAGTAAGACACTGGTTGGTCCACATAAAACAGAACTATATATTAAAGAAACTGCCGTCCTACAGCAACAGGTGAGGAGTTCCTTTAATTAAGAGACCACTGCAGCCACCCCAATTCCTCTCTGCAACTCCTTGAGATCTAGGAATGGCAGTCCAAAAACAAAACAAAAAACAACCCCCACACACAAGGTAGAAAAATAGAATTTTGAAGTCCAAATACAGATAGTATGAAAAATGTTCTGAAATGAGAAAACTTTTTGTCAGACTAAAGTATACCTGAAGGAGACAAAATACAAACACATTCTAATACACAATATAAACCCTATAATGACACATTCCAACAGAAAACGACACCATTCATCAGAAATACAAAACTTAGAGATGAACCCAGCGGGAAGCAGGAATGAGAATGCTCAAAAGACCGAAGACGCAGCGCAGGGAGGGGTGGGAGGCACAGCGCCTGCCTCACACGGGGCGCTGCCCACAGTCAGTACCCAGCACCACAGCAGGCAATGACAGAGCCTGAGCCTATGCACAATAACTGTTTACGAGGTAGCCAAAGGGAGAACGAGTACGAGGGAACTTTGTACTGGGAACAGATAGCCTAAAAACAGGAAAAGCAATAAAATAAGATAAAAATACTAAATATCAAATATATATCAAAGCAGAATATTGGAAAAGATTAATAGTTAATTACATAAACATAAAAGCTTTCATGAACAAAAGATACCCTATAAGCAAAGTCACAGTACAAATGACAATGGAAAAATTGTGTAAATTTACCAAAGAAAGCTAATCTCCTTGATTTGAAAAGAAATTATCAGTCACTGCATAGCAAAATGAGCAAAAGCCTATATAAAAAATACAACTGGCTCTTAATAAAACATAAAGACAGCTATCCTCATTCGTTCTAAATAAGGTTAGCTCAAATTATAACTACACTGAAATACTAATGGGTAAGTCAACACCCAAGTTTAAGAACACATTATGTTTAAGAAGTTATAGGAAAATAGATTCTTATATACTGCTGGTGGGCATGCAAACTGTTACACTTCTATGAAAGACATCTTGGTAGTATCTAGTACAAACCATCTGATGCAAACCGTTCCACTTCTAGCAATTTATTTTAATGACACCTTATATATATTCTATATATGGAACGATACATGCATAAGTGGATTCACTGTGACATTACTATTAAGAGCAAAAGATTGCAAACAACCAGTGTCCATGAATATTAAAAATCTATACTATAAACACACAATGTGCCATTCAGCCATATAAAAAGATACACAAAATATCTCTACACTGATATGGAGCTACTTCCAAGATATCCTGAGAAAAAATTCTTCCTAGCTCTGTCCCCTGACAAAGTCTACAGGGAATAACATTCAGCATCAAGGGCCATACAGACTATACTCTATATCTAAATTTGAAATGCCATTTCCCAATAATTTCTTATAAAATGTTTTGTTCTATTACTGGGAATGAGAATGTTTGAGGTAAGCCAATATTTTTAAATCTACTAGGCTCATGTTAAAAACACACCGAGGCCAAGTAATTTGAATATTATTAATAGTAATAACCAAAACACATTTAAAAATATTTATATAAAAATCATGAGTTCATAATATACAAAGGTGGCAAAAAACTCAAAAAAGCCAAATGTTACTACTGAAATTACTACACTAATTTCTTACTCTAGAAAACTTAAATGTCTTTTACTATGCCTTTTCAGTAGAACTGTTCTTTAAGACTCTCAAATAGAACCCACTGATGGGGATAAATATGGCAGAATGGCACACATGTAGGACAGACAAAGACCGGTAAGGGAACCTAGGAAGATGGCGACAATGACACTGTAGTTTTGTATTTGCTTTTTTGAGTCCCAGTCACCCCCAAGAAAAAGCAAGCTGCATAGGAAAACCAAAGACCCACAACAAAACTAGGTAACAAGGTACACTCCATGGGTCTTCCCAAGTAAGCAGACAGTAACAAAAGCACTGACATCTAAAGACTTCGTTGCTATCAGCATTCTTGGGGTGGAAAGCAGGAGGGCGGTAACTTAATGTCATAGATCCCTGAGAATAAGACAGTCTCAAAACTGTCACCCCATTGGGAAAGCACAGACCACATTTGAGAACAGGAGCTCACTGAGAGTTCTACAGGACCCAATTTGCAGATGACTGCAACGGGATCCTGATGCCTTAAGTTCTGGCCCCTTAAAACTGTTGGAAGCACCAAACTCCTCTTCCAAAACAAACCTCTCACTGAGGAGAAACTGCAGGGAATTATACTCACATAAACCAGAACAATGATAAGAAAGATAAAGGAAATTTCAAATATATATGGGGTGGGGAGTTAAAGGAGGTACCATAATTTTAAAAAAGCACAAAACTATCATTTTACAAAAATAAACATAAAGCCTTCCCCAAGAAAAGCTATCCTAGCCCATCTCTCTCTCTAACAAAAACGAGAAAGTCACTACACATATGAAGAAAATGAGCAACAGCATTAAAGGGCCACTGTGAAACACTGGTCTCCTTGCCGTTATGTGCATGAGGGTGATGTCCCTACAGAGAATGAAACCACACCCCCCAAAGGCCAATAAAAGGGACGAAAACTGTAAATTTCAAATTGAGCTAAAATAAATGTAAAGAATACAGGCTATGAAAGAAAACTAAACGAGAAATGAAAAATTTTAGAAAAGAGTGACTGAACGAAGGTTTTAGAAGAAATGAAAAAAATCATGTCAAACACAAACAAACTAAACTAGAAAAAACAAAACAAAACAAAACTTAAGGCTGGGGGAAAAAAATCTCTAGAAACCTAAGTTAGGAAGAAGAAAAATCTTAAGAACCAAAAAGCAATGAAGTCTTGCCTGACACTCTCCCTCCTAATCCAGAGTGCTGCC